AAAAATTATTACTCACCTTATTTGTTTAAAATATAAAATGTGTACTTACTAAAATAAAATATTCTAAATTTGGAGTACAGAACTCTATTTTTGAACGAAAAACAAACAAACAAAAATTTCACAAGCGTTAATCACTAATTACAATTACAAATAATTCTTGGAAATACTCTAAAAATAATTATGGTAAAATTGATTTTTTACATTAACATCTGCGAAAATATTTTTGATAAATTATAGAATCTAATATTAAGTATGTAGGTTTTAAATATTATTTATTTTAATTTTATTATAACATTAATTATTTTATTTATTATTTAACAACTTATTTTAATGAGATGTAATTAGTTCACTTTTATTTCAATAATTTATTGTAATTATTATTACTATAAAATGTGTTCATGTATAAATAATATGTACAGTATATATATATATATATATATAGTAACTTGTCTAGATTTTATATAAAAGTAAACTCCTCTGCAAATTTTACCAATCACTCAAAGTTTATAAAATAAAACTAATAAATTATTATTTAAATATTTTTTAAAAAAAATTTTAATGAATTTTCCATAATTTTATTTTGATATTATTATGTTTTTAACAAACCTATACACAAGTGCTTGGAAATATATGTTATATAATTTATATATACGTATATATTTATGTACATACTTTATAAATGTAATTTTTATTTGTTACCAATATTTGGAAAAACTGAAAATTAAATTAATCAACACTGTTCGTAAAAGTACAACAATATTACTTAATGTATGTAAGTATATACATTAAAAAAAGGCAGAAACGAAAATAATATGTGTGTTTTTAGTTCCAATATTCCAATATTTTGAAGTACAATCCTATTAAATATTGTGTTTGTCGAAGGTAAACATATTAAAGGTTCAAAGGAAAATATCAATTTCATTTTCAAAAAATAAAATTGTCTAAAATAATTATTGAGCAACAAAATGATAATGTTACCGATCGCATTTACAATAAGGGAGGTGATGTGATGGCATAAAATTCGACATGTGGAATTTTCGTCGCAAATACGTTTACTCATACTTAAGAAGCGTAAATAAACTATTTTTAGAGGGATGTCTGTCGGTCTATCGGCCTTTCTGTATAACTTATATATATATATATATAGCAATTTATTATAATAAATAAAATAATGTGTTATAACAAAATATAAGAAAAATATAAGACTTAAAATTAAAATAGTAAAACTATTTTAAGTGGAAATAATTTATTTTATAAATTATTTCCACTTATAATTACAAGAGAAAAAAAAATTCAATATAATAGTAACAAAAACAACGTTTCCGAATATCTGCCTTTGTGTCGAATGATTTGAAGCAATCAGTACGACATTTTATATGACATAAAACGTGTGAAATAAAATTTTGCAAAAATTAAACGACAATCATTGCAAATTTTATGTACTTTAAGTTTCGACTCCGTATGTTGTAAGAATTTCGACTCTGTAAGCGCAGTATACTTGCCTATACTTGGTGTTTTTATATTTTTCAATATTATAATAATAATTTTTCAATATTATAATAATAAATACTTATTACATGTTTTTATAACTCATATAGATCTACATTTATAATTACGTAATGCACTTATAAGGTATACTCGTTTCCCTAACTATTTTGAAATATCGTTTTCCCTCACCGATACCGGATTTAATACTTTTTATGATATTTCAATTACTTATGTTTTTCACAATTTTATCAATATAATTTAAAAAAAAGAGACTATTTAATTTAATTTTAAAACATTATAAAATATATGACATAATTAATAGTAAGGATAAATAATTAAATGTGTACTTAATTTTGTATGCATGATCTTGTACCTCATTCAATTTTGTATTAAAATAAAATTTCTTTATATGCATATTGGAGTTCAATATCTTGGTTCAGTTCACTTTCAACCTTCATTTAAATTAAATTTTATTATGTGTATGTCACATAATAGATATGCGCTATATATACATATGTATGTATATTTTACAAGTAGCTTGATATTAGCTTATATACCAGTATAATTTCAATTTAATTACTTTTAAGTAGATATATTAAAATTTTCAATTCAACATTAAAATAATTTTTTTTTTCAACTTTTATCTATTTGATATATATTATGTATATATACATATGTGCATTCAAAATGAAAATTTTCATTAAATAACATGAATGAATGGTCCTTATTTGAAAGAAGTGTAATAATATTTTAGGTAATATTGCAGTAATTTAACAAATTTTATTTTAAATTAAAAATAAATTGCTGGTAATAAATTTCGATAAAGAAATGTAAAATTGTTATTATTTTTATGCAGAAAAGGTTTAAAAACAATTCTGAAAACCACAGAGAACAGAACGTATAAATTAAACTCAAAAAAATTGCAGAAATCTAGTTGATTATCACAACAAATTGTTGAATTCAATATAAACACTATGTATATATAATATTTTGTTGAAGATATACAACTAAGTATAAATAATTAAGGAAAGAAAGTTATTTACTTATCATAAAACTACAAGATATTTTATTACAGTACATGTTTTAAAATAACTTACCCGTTTGGGTTATCACCAAAAACTTTAAGTGAACACCATTTTATAATAACACATTAAACAACCAAGTTTGCTTGTATCATAAAAAATTTATTCAAATACAATTTGCATTAATTTTTTATTCTTAACAAAACTTAAATTAGACTTGAGGGTCAATGTTTGTACTCATATTTTACAATCATAATTAAACTTAATTAAGTTATTAAAATAGCAATTAAAAGTAAAATTAAATAACGGCATTACAATAAAAATTTCAACCTTGAATATAAGCAAAATTATCCTGTATGAAATAATTTAAAAAATATATTAAAAATATATTGAAGTTTCATGTTACTTATAATTTATTATTTATGCATTGAAATTCCCTAACGATACAAAAATATCAGTAACGATAAATTTATTATAGAAGTTTTAAAATCAAATAATGTTCTGAGATCTCCATGTTTTACAGTTGATTTTGCAATTATACAATTTTATTTTTCCATTTCAAAAATCCTCATTTACTAAGAAAGATCTATTGCTTTATATATTTTGTATACATCAATTTTTAAAAACATAACCACCAATGAATATATTTTATTATAGTATATTTTGAATCAGGTACTCTATTTAAGGAAATAAGGAAATAAGGAAATTGTGTTATAAATTTATTTTATTCCTTAAATTACATTTTTGATTAAGAACACAACACATATGCAATGTCGGCTGAGAAATTCAATACTTATATGCAATACTTTCGCTTATAGTATATAAGCAAAAGTATAGTTTTTAGTAAAACTTATTCAAAATTTTTGGTTGCTTTGTACAATCCCCCCTTCCGAATTAAAAAACATGTTAGAATCAGGAGAGAAAATTTAAAAGTTATCTCTACTTAAGGAATAAATTAGTTACATAACTAATAACACTCAAATTAACTTTATGTATTTACATTTTTGAAGGTTTATGTGGTTTATTCATTTGATTTATTTACAGTGAAATTTCATAAATGATTGAAAAACCTGCCCTAGTTGAGACTTCACATATTTTTTATATGTTATAGTATTATACTATGAGAAAAAAATAGAAATTCCAAAATTTAATGTTATCTATCAACTTCAGTAAAAAATTTTACAAAGTAAAATTCTAGGTCTGTATAGGATAAAAATATATTTGTAGAATGACTATGTAAAAAATTATGTATTTAATACTCTTATTCTCTAATCAACTCGAAGAAATCAGGTTTATTTTGGTTTTTCTTCGTAATCGCATAGATTTTTCGACGGTAAAATGAGCTTTTGTTATTCATGCCAAGAATATAGAATCTTAATATAGAACTTCATATCTAAAAAATACTAGATCTAAAATTTATTTCGACAACAACAAATTGTATTGCCAAATCACAAATATGCGTTTGCAATATTATTTTCAAATATTTTGTATATAATATTACAAGTAGGCCTGCAATAAAAAAAATTTTGCTGATGATTAGCCGATTTAACTAGATCCGCGTTTAACGTTTTGACTAATGCCATATATATCTACAGGCCATCAAGCTCAGAGCTCAACAAATCAAAAATAAATTCCAAATTTATGTGGAGTTTAAATGGAAGGTGCGTCATTATTTATTTGTGTGAAAGATATTGATCAATATTTTTGGCTCTACTGATTCTACATATTTGTTGAAATTTAAATTGAAAAATGCATTTAAAAAAAATTGCAATTTTCAGCGAAGACAACTTTTCTTGTCTTCCAAATGGAAGGGTGCTGAATTAGAGAGTAAGATTTTTTAATAAGAAATAGAATTTCAAAAAAAATTTAAGGAAAAAGCAAAAAAGTAAGAATTATAACCTAAATGGCTTTTAAAATCGTACTAAATAAAATGAGAATTATAAAGAATACTCAAAAATTTCACAAAAAAAAAATGAAAAAAAATATTTCAATCGGCATACTTCGAAAACATAAAACATTAAGAATTGTTTTTGTATTTTTTTCCGATTCAAAATTTCGGAAAATATTTTCAGCTTAGAGGCCTGATAGCTATACATATGGCATTACGTTTAACATTACAAAATTTATTTAAGAATTTACAAAATTTTCAATTGGAATTCATACAAATCCATATTATACACATATATGTAAATATTTGTAAATTAATCTGTAAGAAAAATATTTTTTTGCTCTTGCTTTCTCAAATCAAGTCTTTCTTGTAAAATCTTCAACGAAAATTATAAATTGAATATACTTAATAATAAAATTTTATTCTTTTTTTTTTCAATATTTCCATAATAATGCTATAAATCCATCATATACCAGTTTTTTTAAATTTTTTAGTATCTTAAAATATTTTAAAATATTTTAGCTTTTTATTTAAAAATAATAATTTTATCTTTGTATGTATATAAAACAAATATTAAAAATATTATGAAAAATTCTACTTACTTTTTAAAAAATTTTATTCCAATTTTCTGTTTCTTTCTCATTTGTTTTCGTAAAATTAAATTTACAATTGATTAAAATCATTTACTTATGAGAAATAAAATATTATATTAATTCATATACATAAGTAATTATTGTTTAATGTTTAATTAATTTTAACAGTATCATTACTTAGTAGAATATTTCTCAGTTAAGTATTTTTTATTATACTTACTTAAGTAACTATAATATAACAAAATGTTCCAGGAATAATATTTTTAGTAATTTCAAAATTCATAATGAATATTATTCTGCGAATGTATATAAGTAATATAAAAATATTATTAAAGATAATTTTTAACGTTTTTGTGTATACATAGTAAGTATAACATTTTCCTACATTTAAGTAAAATATAACAATTTCATTTCGAAGTTTTAAACATTAAATTTTTTTTTATTTACTTATATGTTTTTATTCAAATTTTTCTTTGAATAACTTTATGATCATAATAACTGATTAATTATAATAATATACATTAATTTTATCTTATCTAAATTGACAGTAAAATTTTTATTTTAAGAAAAGCCACTTAGTTTTTAACTACTTATAATTATATGTTTGGGTATTATAATTAACATTTTATAATAATGAATTAATTCTAATTATTATAAATTATTATAAAATTTTTCATATATTTAAATTTAAGTGAATAATTTTGGAAAAGTATTTAAGATAATTTTTGTTATTTTTTTCAAATTGAATTAGTATAGAAATTTTAGATATTTAAAAATTTAAAAATATTAATTTTTTCTTGTTTTCAATAAATTTTTGATTAATTATATTATTTTTGTAAAAAAATAACTCAATTAACTCTTTTATATTAAAGTCTTATAAATAGCTGCTACTGCTTGTTAAAAAATTTCATTCTATAAAAATTAAATTGATTATAAAATTTGTATTAAAAAAGCAAAATTTTCTATTGAAAAATTTCGTAATTTACAATATTGTAATTTCATATTTTATACATAGATAATAATTATACTAAAGCAATTTTTCACTCTAAAATTCCAATTTTTTAATATTTTTAGCTTTTTTAATTGAAATACATATTATTCGTATTATATTTTAAAATTGTATTTTAACAAAAACCTTTATTTTTGCATTTGGGAATTATAAACCTTGTATATATACACACTAAATATTAATAAACTATTAAATATCAATAAATTACTATAAATGTTAATTAAAATATTTTAAAAAATTTTCTGCTTTTTTTATTTTGCTAATTAATTTTTATTAATACATATACATATATATATGTATATTTTTCCACAACTTTATTTTTAATCAAACTATACACTTGAATAAAAAAAATTTTTTTTTGTATTTTTAAAATTTTTTCGATTAGACTACAAAAACTATTTAATTTTGATTAACACAAAAATTAACATTCAAACACTAATTTCAACTGTTAAAAATTCAAAAAATCAAAATCTTAAAATCATGTTTTTTGTTCTTCAATCTTTTTTTTTTAGTACAAATTGTTAATTTATATAAATTTAATTAAAATATCAAAAAAAAAAAATTACTAAAAACTTGTTTATTTTTTGTCTTTATTTTATTTCGCTAAATTTCTGAGGTATGAATGTATTAACCGTCACATATAAAATCACATAAATAAATTGTCATCTTCTTAATAAACTTTACAATTTAAAATTAAATTCGTTGAAGAAAACAAATTTTTTTTTCAAATCTATACACCTATGTAATTTAATTTTTGTTTGTATTTTCCACAGTATTAATATTTTACTTCTTTAAAATTCTGGAGAGAATTTTAAACACGTCGTTCTTACATCATGTGCAAAATTCAACTAACAATTTGTAACAAATTCAACTGATAAGTACAACAGTAGTAACCAACCAACAAACCAGCCAGCTACATACATAGCTAAATTGAGCTAGACCATCATCATAATATTGAACTTTTTTCCAAATATAATGTATGCTATTAACCAAAACAAATATAATAAAAACAAAACAGAAAGGAAAAGTAAAAACAAAACAAAATATAGCAAAAACGATAATGTTTTCATCTTTAAAGAATAATAAAAGAATATCAAAAACAAAAAAAAAAATTAAAAAATTGAAATAATAAGTAAAATAACTGGTATATCTTCGTAGTTTAATGTAAATATTCGTATACAATATTATACAAAGTCTGAAAAGATATAAAAAAAAAACAAAAAAATAAAAAAAAGCTACAGTTTTGTATTTAAAGTTTTTTTAAGTATAACACATACGCGGCAAATTTAATTTCTCCTGTGTTATGTTTCTCCATAGTATATTGCAAAAGCTTTTTCCACAGAAAAGCTTTCACAATATATTATAATTAAAAATATAATATTCATTTGTTATTGACTGCACATTCCTAAGGGCGAATTCGAAGTATAATTCATATTAAAATTTGAATAAAAGGGATAAAAATTATGACCTATCTGAAACAAACGCACTCATTAGATCAGCATTCGTATATGTCATATTAAAAGTTTATTTATTTAACGTATCGCAAAAAAATTATGAAACGTTTGCTCTGTATTCCAAATAACACCAACACTAATGCATTACCATACGCAACTTAACTAAAAATAAGAACTTAATACGTAATTCAGCTAATAAAGTTCAAATGCTGAATTGTATAGCAACGAAATCCAAATTAAATTTGTAATTGCTGTTATTTCAAATTAAGGATTAAATCATTAAGGATGATCATAAAATTAAGGATCAAATATTATACATAGTTATATATTACAGAATCGTCAGATATTTCGTATGATTAAAGCATAGACACATGCATTTTTTATTTGTTTATGTACACACTTTTATAAAAATAAAAATCAAGAAACATTACGAATGATATACTGAAATATATATACTATATAGGCGTAAGTTGAATGGTGTAGTTTAATATGGTATCTATTAATTCCCAATATTTGGTATTATATGGATTTTACCAAGGTAAATAAGGCTAATAAGGTTACTAAGGCTACTAAATTGGTTTGCATTTTCGCAAAATGCTTTCAATTGCAAATACACACTTACTCACATATATGTATATACACTTTATTTTATTATTATATCACTGAGCTGACTTTAAAATTGCCGTTATACGATAGCATATAAATTGCAATTGCTGAATGTATGGTTACATAGTACTGTTACAAATTTGAAGTCGCATGATATACGAGTATGTATGTATTTTGGATTAATGCGCATCATTTGAGGAACTGCATTCATTCATTCAATAAGGTTGGCAAACCTAACCTTTACACATTAAAGTATGTGTAATATGTGTACATATGTATGTATAATTTATCACAATCCATAATGAAAACATTAGATTTTGTTTCTGTTTCAAAAAGCAATTCTGCCGGTAAAGCTTTTGTTTTGTTTTTTTTTATTTTTCTTTGCTTTCAAAACAATTTTTTCTTTTTTTCGTTTTTATTTACATAGTAATTTTATATTTTGCGTTCAGGGACGTATTGTGTTTTATAAGTTAATTTTTATTAATGTATACATTTCTTACTTTCATGTACGTAGGTATGTATATGTTGTTATGCATGCATACGCATTAATTTATCTTTGCAATTTAAAGCAATTAAATATTCTTACGGAAAAATGAAGGTAAAAATTAATGATGCGAATATAGTGCAAATTTTATTTAATTTTTACATTTAATTATATGACAACGTATCCATAAAGTGTAAGTAACATTTTAATTACACTATTGGAAGTTATTGATTGCTTTAAGAATCACAAAAAGTTCGAATTATTTTAATATTTATTTACGAATATTTAATTGGTTTGGGTTGGGTCTACAACCCGAAGAAATTAAATTTTCTTCTTTTAATACCTATTACATTACACCTATCACAGCTTCTCAAAATTAAATACATTTCTTGCACCGTAACTCTAACAATGCTAATTCTACAAATTGAATTTTTGTTTTTAACAACCTTATTTTACTGGATTAAATAATTCGTTAAATTAATTATCATTCGAAAGAGTAATTGAATTAATTGCCTATGAAAACTAGTAAACCGACTAAATAAACAATACTTATGGCAATACACTCAATTTTGTGTCATTCCCGCACTGATGCTCCAAATTTTATCAAACATCAATTTCATTATTCCCATTCAAAATGCTAATTTTATAAAACAAAAAAAAACTATGTGAATCTATTAAATTGACATATTCGTACATTTACATGTATTAACGTATATAATATGTACACACATTGTATAGAATATACAGTAAACGTAATAAACTGTGTCAACATAAATTTTGCTTCTAAACAAATAAAAAATTAATCTCAAAATAATACAAAACATTTAAAGAAATTATACAAATTAGAAATTATACATTTTTCAATCGGAATTTTCTATCTTAGAGTTAATTTTAATATAAGAACTTAATTAAAATTGTCAGGTTGGGAGCTACAGGAACCTGTTAGGCCACTGCACATTGAATATGCACATTGTATCCGTACGATACAATTAAAAATTTCATAAAACTGCCTTTACTATTTTTATACAGCCCCCAGAACCTGTACAGCTATTTTTTTTAATTTTTGGAGTATGTGTAAAATATAATTAGAAATACATACGTTCACAAAATTAATTATATCTTAATTAGTTTTTGAAATATGTAAAATAACCTCTTTAAGTTATATGATAGCTATCCGAACTCGTTATCCGAATTGGTCCAGTAACAATAGGACACATCCTTGGCAGAGAATAAACACTTTGTAAAAGCTTGATAGTTTTTGCTTTGTTCGTTTTGGAGTTATCGCGCGATCAGACAGACGGATGAACGAACATATCTAAATCGACGCTGAACTAGTAATTTAGACAGAGCAAGAATAATTATAAAAATATGTTTGTATAACGCATCTTATATAAAAAAAATATTCCATAAGTTGCTAAATTTTCGACAGGTTGTGTAGTATGTTATATAATGTTCCCTCCTTGCACGAAATAGAAAAATATGTGTACATTGTGCATGACATTACAATTTGCTC